TTGCAACTACCTCCAACATGCTGTTATTTTTGTGCCAAAGTTTTTAAAACACTGACATTTTCCAGGGTTTTTTTAATTATGAAATCATATTTACTATTCATAAATAATAATTGTAAAAATCTCTACTTTTCTGTGAATAACTCAAGACTGTGTAGCTACTTAATTTGAAGGGCAGTTATGCTTATTTTTTAATAATGCAGCAAAAATGTGCTAGTTTGCATGCTGCTACAGAATTTTTTGTCCAAAAAATGATCCTTGATGATAAAACTTGAAAATATATATAATTAAACTTATCATTCATAATGTTTCTCCTGACTGGTAACACTGTAACATGTTTTCTACAGTTATAGTAAATAAAATTTTGCCCATGAACACTCACTCAGAATACTGCTGTAAATATTTTGTTCTTGATCTGTTACTCTGGGGAAGTTAAAACTTCCACTGGAACCATTCACTGATATGTCCCCTATAGTCAATAAAGCTTCAATATTCTTCTTAGCTTAGTGTCATCTTTTTGTCCATCTCTCAGTCTCCTTTAATTTATAGGGAGGAGTCCTTTTTCCTGTATGCATATAATTCAACCACGCAAATTCTTCCTTTTTCCTTGCACGGTACCCTCCACTTTTGAATAGGTTTCCCCATCTATGTCTTTCAAATTGTTTCTCATAACTTTTTTATCATAAAACAAAGAAACAAACAATTTGCAGTATTTCCAGTTGTTCTATGTGCTATGATCAACATGTATTATAGTGATGAGTTGTTCTCTATTGCATCGCTATATATTCTCACCTATCTTTATTCTAATTGTCTTCTCTTAGACCAGGCTATCAGCTTTGAACTTTTGATATGCACTGATTAACATAATACCCACCACTGGAGTTCATATACATTATGTTAATACAATGTAATAATGATAAATAATGATTTGCTACCCATTTATGGGAGCATCAGGAGGAAGACATTGATTGGGTTATTGGATGTGACGCAATGAAAGGCAATAGGGTCCAGGTTGTGTTTTCCCTGATCCTTCTGGGGAAAGCTCAAGTAGTAAGGGATGCATTCTGCACATCAATATCTATCTGGTATGTCAAGCTGTGCTACTGGATCTTTTTGGGATCCTTCTGGCAAAGTGGAGTGACAGCATCTTCACAAATTAGTCTGCGTACCAGCTGAGGAAGGTTTTGAACTAGGAACCTCAGAGACTAAGTGTAGAGACAAGGTTGAGAGTATGAGATGGAGACATTCCCACAATTCGTCCTATAATTTATGAATAGAGTTCCATCTCAAATATCATTGCACAAAATATACAGTGTGGGCAGTGAAGAGAAAATAAGCATTGGTGCAGCACTGTACAACTATAATCTGAGAGATCTGGCAGCACAGCTGATGTCATCTCAAAGCTAAATTGGGTATGCTTAGGAGGTAGTTTCCCTACATAAAAGCCTGTCTGATGCTATATTTTGGATTTGTGACTAAAGCAATGATGACAACTCCTCCAGTGTTTCAGCTGTTGATAAACAGCATTTGCACAGTGCCAAGGCTTTTCCCCACCAGTAAGTAGGCTGGGGATGCACAAGAATTTTTAGGGTGATAAATCCAGGACAATTGACCTGAACGGGTCAAAATGATTCTCTATACTATATGATTTCGTGCTCAGCAATCAAAGCTCAGGGAATGGAGAAGGCAAGTGGGTTCACAATTATGTTGCTGGTCTTCCTAACTCGGAAATGGCTGGATATCTGCCTGCCACTGGAAAGTAGCTAATGAATTCCTTATTTTGCTTTGTTTGCATGTGCAGGTTTGACTTTTATCTCAACCCACCAGTTTCTACTGCTTTTACCCTTCTGACCCTCTGTCCTATCACACTGTGGGTGAGTGAGTGAGCAACTGGGTAGGGGCTTATCAACCCAACACAAATGCAATGAACCTTGTGCTGTGAAGTGGGCAACAGGCAAGTTGGGAGCTTATGTAATGTCATCAAAGTGAAGGCCAAAAGGGGGTAAATGAAGTCAACATTTGCAACACTGAGAGTTGAGAACAGGAGGACAATGCCTCCTTTAAACAGTCTCATAGATCCTGGATATCATGGAGGGCTTTACCTGACGTTCGCTGAAAGGAAAACTTGGAGAGGCTCAGATTTCTGGAGTTTGTCAGGATCAATTTTTGATGCAGGTGCTGGATGGCCAAACTAGAAAAGGTGGTCTGCTGCATCTACTGTTCATGAATAAAGAAAATGGTCAAGGGTTTGAAGATCAGTGATAGCCTTTGCTGCTATAACCACGTCATTGTACAACTTGAAATTCTGAAGTAAATAGAAAAGGTAAATAGAAGAATAAAGAGCCTTCAGGGCAGCAGACTTGGGAACCAGCCAGCAGCTTCCCCTGGGCGGTGTTCTCCTCCCAGGGGCTCTCTTATACACTCTCTTAAGGGTATAATGGTCCATGATAACTTGTTGATCTTCAAGGACAACCTCCTCAAAACATAAGAGTGATCTACCCTCATGCAGAAATTTGTAACAACACAGAGTGAGAAGAGCTTGGAGTTATATCAAGGCTAAGCAAATAATGTGCACACTAGAAGCACCTTTATTTGAGATCTGTGAAGGTATAGCCAACTAACAGCTGGAATAATGTTACACTGGCACACACTCATGTTCAGAAGAAAAAAGATGCAGACAGTGATAAATTTAAGCACCAAGTAGGAAGATCTGAAGGGCAAGAAATATAATTTTACTAGTTACTACGAGAAATTTATTAATTCACCTGTATTAGAAGTGAGTATGCTATATTGTAAATAAATTACTAATTGAATTTAAGTAAATTCACTTAATTTAAGTTTCCAAAGTGCTTCAGAAGATTAGTAATATAAAGTACCTGATCCAGATGAAATGTCAAATAAACACATTTAAATCGTGGGAATTAAAGGACTAAAATAGCTTGCCTGACTACTTAGTAATATTCTTTGTCAATATATTGAATTATTACTTTAAAAGGTTTATTGTTTTTATTCTAAACATAAAGGAAATATTAAAAATTTTATCAGTTAATGTAGAGTTAAACTAACTCCGCTTCATCCAGAACGGAAATGAAAAAAGGGCGATAAATGCTAAAAATAAGTAGGTCTGCTACAGTAAAATAATGATAAATATTAAACTGTATCCCGAACTAGCCTTGAATCCATTATATCTACAAGAGTTACCTTTGTGGTAAACAAGAATAAATGAAAATAAACACCTTGAAATGCTACAGTCTCCTGGGGTTACATTTTCTGCACAGAACAGTCATTATTTAAGACAGTTGTTGCGGTGGCAACTTGAGTAGGCTGGACTTGGAGTGCTAGTAAGACCAAGAACATGGGCAGTGAATAAAAAATCAGAATGCTTTTCTTCAAAATGGAAACTAGAACTTTAGCAAGGCAGAAGCAGACGTAGCTGAAGGAGTGACAGTCTTGACAAAATTACATGCTTTTCTTCATCTTTTATGGTTATATTGTGGATTTAAGCATGACTCAAGTATCATATTCATCTTATAAGTATACGACATGAACAAGTCAAAGGTACTTTCGGCACCATTGAATATTTAAGCAATAAAAATGGTTTACAATAGTCGTTGAATATGTTATTAACTCTGCGGAATGATAAGACTTGAAAAGGATACATAGCACTAAGCATCCACAAAATGGTGTTAATCGTAGGTATTTGGAGACTCACTCTACACTCTTTTTTTACAGTGTCTTTCCTGCTCTAATAGAGCAGCTATATGTTCAGTTTTATGTTCAGCTATATTCTTCCCCACATGTGAGGAAAGTGTCATAAGAAACACTTAAGATTAGTGTAATTTAGATAACACCTTTTATTTAAATTATCAGTGTTAACAGTTGAAATTCACCAACATCTTGAACCTCTCTATAAATCTAACATATAAATTAATATGAATAATAATTTTTAAAAAGTATCTAATTTCCTGAAAAATACAAAGTGCGGGAAAAGCACTTTTATCTTCCACTGTAGGACTGAATACCAGGTAGGTAATTTATGTACCTTCCATATTAACCCAAAGACAAATATATTTTGGCCAAAGTGTAAATCTTCTCTCTAAGCTAATTAGCAAATGAAAAAATATAATAAGGCTAAGTTATATTGTATTTCCTGAATTACTCACTGCAGTCCTTCATTCCTCAAACATAAAGACTTGCTCCTTTTAAAATTCATGAGTATGCCTAATTTATTACAGAAAAAAATCCTGTTTCCCTAAATGCCTGCAGATTTCCTGGCAGAGAAAATATTAGTTCACAATTGGTACTGCATGTGGAAAGTGTCATTCAAACAATAATTTTTCTAGTACAGTATAGTCAAACTATAACTGACCTTACAAGTGGGAGGAGAAAACTTGAATTTTCCTACTCCCTTTGAAATTGCTTTTGTTTACTTTGCAAATAGAGTTTCAAAGACAGAGAAGAAGAAAAATTTTAACCAGATCAAAAACAATAATATGTCTTGCATACTCTGTACAAGTTCAGATAATGACTTGCTGAACACTTCATGGGAAAATTAAGGGCTTTATCACTATGCCCTTGAACATAGAAGAGGAAATCTCTGTTGGCTTTTAAATTGTGGGAGATTTTTGTTTAGAAGAGAGAGAAAGGAAGTTTCAATTTATTTCTTCCATGGGCATGGAGTATGTGAGGGAGCTGCATGGTCTCTGTTTCTGCTTTTTATTTTTCCTTTGATGTCCAGGGACATCACTACTGTACTGTCCACTATTCACACCAACTTTAAGCCTAGTTCTAGAATAGTCTAGTTTGTGATGCATCTGTTTTTCAGCCTGAATGTCACTACCACCATTTCTTTGCATATAAAAGTTTAGGCCATAGATCTTATCATTATATAATAGTATTTTATACAGGACATATACAACACTACACCTAATTAAAATTCTTTTGTGGCTTTATTGGACCATTGCATTGGGTCTACATGGCCTGGTTTTGGTAGAAGCGGGGCTACAGGGGTGAATTCTGTGAGAAGTTGCCAGAAGTTTCCCCCATGTGTGGCAGAGTCAATGCCAGCTGACTCCAGGATGGACCTGCTGCTGACTAATGCCAAGCAAATCAGGAATGATAGTAACACCTCCATATTACTATCTTTAAGAAGGAAAGAAAGATATTGTGCAGATGAAATTGCAGCCAGAAAAGAGTAGAGTGAGAACATGTGAACAACTATACAGACACCAAGGTCAGTAGAGAAGGAATGGGAGGAAGTGGTCCAGGCAGCAGAGCTGAGCTGGTCAGCAATGGTAGATGCAGCAGAAGCGTGGTAGAAATGCACCTATCAAGATCAGGTAGCAACAGATTTGTGGAACTGAACCTGGAAATGTAGGCTCTGAGCTGAGTTAGGGAAACCCAGATCAAGGGTTAGATTACTGGTGTTATAAAATGAGATGATGAAATGTTTATAACATCTGTTTTGAAAATTAAGTGTGTCTGGGCTATACCTGTGGTTCGAAATGATGCCAGGTGTCTGAAGAGCCATCCCAGGCCCTGATGGACACTGATGTTTTTGATATTCAGTGGGTTGTTAAGGTCTAAGCATCAGTGTTTTTGATATTCAGTGGGTTGTTAAGGTCTAAGTTAAGGGTTGTTAAAGTCTAAGCATCACAGAAACAAACACATTTAATCAAGTGATTCCTGATTTAATCCTGTTAGTTCTGAATTAAAATATGACTTTGGGGTAAAAATAATCCATTCCTGCCTAAACTGTGTTGAAGAAGCTATTGTATTTTCAGGTAAATTGCATTTTTTTTTTTTAATTTCTCTGTTATTTTCTTTATGAAGTCTAGGTTAAAAGATAATTGAGGGTAGATTTAAGGAAAAGACCATAACCAACAAACAATTACATCTGTAAAACAACTGCTATATATCAATACAGAAGTAATTTCTGAATTTGTTCTTCTTAATGCATTACATAGGCTGTGCTTGAGTGGTTCTTTTATGAACTCAACTTTTTTGTTTGTTAAATTATTTCTTCCTGTAATTATACATGCCTTCATATCCCCAAACTATAGTTTCTTTCAACTACTTTGTAGCTTTACTAATTTTGACCAGTTCTAACCACTAGGTTTTCATTCTGTGCATATTTCCCATCAATTTATGTACTTTTATTGCTGACTACAGTATTTAATAACATGACTGGAACACCCTTATTTAAAGCTATGGAATACTCAGGAATGAATAATGAAACCTAGGATGGTAGGATAACACTGTTGGTTAATGAAATGATAAATTGTAAAGAAATAAAATCAGACAGCATGGAGTAAAAAGAAACTTATTTTTCTCAAAGTTTCTTTGGGGAAAAGTTATAGAAGCAATTTTACTTTGTTGGTCTTATGAGAGTTCTCCACAAGCCTCAAGGGTTAAAAATAAATACAGACTTCTATATTTTACTAGAGAGATTAACGGTACGAGAAATTGTAAAAATGTTGAAATATTGGTAGTTATTTCTCCACTATATATTGGTCACAAAAAGGTGCTGGAGAGAGTCATGTCTCTTGTCATCAAAACTAATGCAATTCTTTTTGATAACTTTAATAAAATAATGGGTGGTAGAGTGTATAACATGGGAAAGTTATAAAACAACTTTATAAGCAGATCACATAGAAGTGGGTTGTAACTCAATTTTTTATCATAAAGTAAGTTAACATCTTACAAACACCCTACCCTACAGATTAAAGTTTACCCTGGTAATATTGTCTGTGTATAGTTATTACAAAATCAGCTTGAATGAGATACTAACAAATTAATGGTAAAAGACGCTTGAATTTCTCTAAATCAGACCTACCAAAACTCCGAGGAATTCATATTTCAAGGGCAGAGGAAAACATCTGACACAGCTGTTTTGTGAGCCCAGCAGGGAAGGTGTGCTACTGGACCTGTTTGTGAACAGAGAAAGACTTGGGGGCGATGTGATGATTAGAGGCTATCTTGGACACAGTGATCATGTAATGATAGAATCTTCGGTTCTTTGAGAAGTAAGGAGACAACAAAACTGCCAGCTTGGATTTCCTGAGGGCAGACTTTGGCCTGTTTAGCATCCCAGTTGACAGAATCCCTTGGGAGACAGTCCTGAAGTGCAAAAAGAATCCAACAAGGCTGGATGTCCTTCAAGTAGCAATTCCTAAAGTCATATGTGCCAGAAGACAAGCTGGTGGGGAAGATTAACTGGCTTAAGAAATACTTCTGGCAGGAACTCAAAAGAAAAAAAAGGCAAGTTTATGACCTTTGGAGGAAGGGATGGTTCACTCAGGAGGACTAAAAGGGTCTCACGAGTTTATGTAGAGAGAAAATTAGAATGGCAAAAGCCCAACTACAACTTAATCTGGCCACTGTCATAACAGACAATGCAAAATATTTCTACAAATACATCAATGACCAAAAGAGGGTCTTGGAAAATCTGCATCTTTTATTGTATGGAGGAGGAAACATAATGACAAAGGATGAAGAAAAGGATGATGTTGTTAATGCCTTCTTGCTAATAGTAAGACAAATAATTCTCAGGGTACCCAACCTCCTGAGTTGGGAGATAGGTACAGGGAGTAGAGTAAAACACCCATAATCCAGAGGAAAAGGTAAGGAACCTGCAACACCACATAGACATGCACAAGTCTAAGGGGATGAATGGGATCCATCCGGGGGAAGTGAGAGAGCTGGTGGAGGTGGTCATTGAGCCACTTTCCATCATGTAAAGAATCACAAAATCACAGAATAAGTCCAGTTGAAAGGGACCCACAAGGATCACTGAGTCCAACACCTGGCCCTGCACAGGACCATCCCCAAGAGTCACACCATGTGTCTGAGAGCATTGTCCAAACACTTCTTGAACTCCATCAGGCTTGATGCTGTTACCAATTTACCAGCAGTCCTGGCTAACCGCGGAGGTTCCAGTCGACTGAAAGTTGACAAATGTGATGCCCATCTACAAGAAAGGCTGTAAGGAGGATCTGAGGAACTACAGGTCTTTCAGCCGGGCCTTCATTCTGAGGAAGATTATGCAGCAGTTCATCTCATGGTACATACAGGACAACCAGATGATCAGCCCACACAGCATGGGTTTAGGAATGGCAGGTCCTGTTTGACTAACCTGGTCTCCTTGTACATTAAGACCCAGTCAGCAGATGAGGGAAAGGCTGTGGATGTTGTCTACCTGGACCTTAGTAAAGCTCTTTGTTGCAGTCTGCTTAAATATTGAAGAAAGAACTTCAGATTCGAATATTTAACAGTTTTAGTTCTCTGGAATGTAGGATGTGTGGTTTCACTGCTCACACCGAGCTGTGTCCCAGGCCGTGCAGGGTCTCATTTCAGCTGCAGCTCCCTGGTCCCCAGAAATATAGTGAGGCTGGAAGGGTAAGACATAACTCATGCATGTGGCACAGGGGTCTCAGTTCTCTCCAGGCTGTCAGAGTCTCAGTCTCCCATGGCAGGCAGGCAGTGTGCAGGGGTGCAGAAAAGGGGAGGAGAAGTAAGGAGAGACTCCTATGGCAACCAGTTCTCTCTCCCTTTCCTCTTCCCTGATTTTCCAAAAACTTTTTGTCCTCAAGTTTTATAGTGTTTAAAGGAGGTTGTACATGGTTTCTTGGCATGTAGCCAGTTCAAATGTCCAAGGAGATATGATAACCTTAAACAATGGCGGGATCTTTTGGCAGGAAAAGTCCCGTGGGAAGTCCTGGTGAGAACTTAGGGCAAAGAGCTGACAGAGAATTTTTGGTAGGAAGTTTTTGACAGGCAGAACAATGGTGAAACATAATTTTTGGCATTTCTATACTATCTGTGTGTTATACCCTTAATACTGTTTCCCACAGCATTGTCTTGGAGAAACTGGCTACTTATGGTTTTGATGGGTAAACTCTTCACTGGGTAAACAACTGGATACTGAATGGACAGGCCCTGAGAGTGGTGGTGAATGGAGTTAAACCCAGATGGCAACCAGTCACTAGTGGTGTTCCCTAGGGTTCAGTCCTGTTTAATATCTTTATCAATGATCTGGATGAGGGGATGGAGTGTGAGTTTGGTCAGTTTGCAGATGTAACCAAGTTGGGTGGCAGTGTTGATTTGCTGGAAGGTAGGAGGGATCTGGATAGGTTGTCTTGATGGGCTAAGGTACATGATATGAGGTTCAATAAAGTCAAGTGCTGAGTCCTGCACTTGGGTCACAACAATCCCATGCATCTCTACAGACTGGGAGAAAAGTGGCGGGAAAGTTGTCCAACAGAAAAGAATCTGGGGGTGCTGGTCAACAGCTGGCTGAACATGAATCAGCTTTCCTCCCAGGTGGCCATGGAGGCTAGTGGAATTGTGGTTTGTATCAGAAATAGTGTGGCCAGCAGGACTACAGCAGTGGTCATCTGTCTATGTTTGGGAATGGTGAGACTGCACCTCAATTCTGCTTTTCTCACTACAAAAAAGACATTGAGGTGCTAGAGTATGCCCAAAGAAGGGCAGTGGAGCTGACGAAGGACCTGGAGAACAAGCATTATGAGGAGCAGCCAAGGAGGCGGGGTTTATTTATCCTGGAGAAAAGGAGAATGAGGGGAGACCTTATTCGCCTCTTCAACTGCCTGAAAGGAGGCTGTAATAAAGGGGTGGGGAGGGAGGTATCAATCTCTTCTCCCAAATAGCAAGTGATAGAACAAGAGGAAATGGCCTCAAGTTGCTCCAGGAGGGGTTTAGATTGGATATTAGGAGAAAATTCTTCACTGAAAGGAGGGTCATGCATTGGAACAGGCTGCCCAGTGAAGTGGTGGAGTCACAAGCCCTGGAGATAATTTAAAAGAAGTGTGGAGATGGCGCATAGCTCAGTGGCAAACTTTGCAGTACTTGGTTAGTGATTGGGCTAGATGATCTTAGAAGTACTTTCCAACCTAAATGATTCTATTCTACTCTAGAGAGTAGCGATAGTTTTTTTTTTCTTGACAAACCAGTATGGAACAAATAGGGGCTTGAAGAAAAAAACTGTATTGATATTCAGTAATATTGTTTGAATGGGAAGGAAAGCAAATGACTGAGGCAGCTACGGGACTTTCAGAGTGACCTTGGCTATTCAATTAAAATAAATCTTAAAGGAAATAATTATTATACGAATTGAGTCAAATGAAAAAGGCTTGATGTGCATTTGCAAAATAGTATTGAATTGACCTTTCATCTTTCTTAGAGAAGATGGACTGTTTTACTGTCACCTTATCTTTTAGAACTTCCATAAAGTACTCAACAAGATGATTAATAAAAAGTTATTCTTAAATGAGAAAAGGGATAGGAGAAACCTATAAAGTCAACAGAAAAAAAAAGATTGCAACTGGTTTTACTGAGTGAAAGCATCAACTCAGAGTGATGTTGTTAATGAAACAATCTCAAAGAGGTAAGTAACAGAAAAGAGACCAATTCTAACTGTGTAAATGAAAGGTAATATACTTAAAATCTAGGGAACAATTTCTCATTTTGTCCTGATTGCAGAGAGAGGGTGGAGCTTAGTGCTGTGTGGGCATGGCCAGGTTGCTTTTCTGTACCACCCACATCATCACTGGGTACCATGGCTTGCAGAGGAAAAGCTGGGTGTCCCATAGGACGTGCACCAGTTTGCCTCACTTTCTTCAGCAGGGGATCTGTCAAGATCAACCCCTGAAGACTCGGTCCGCCTGTTACCACTGCCGGTCTCCATCTCATTTTCTTGGGAATGCATTTACAGGACAGAACCGGGATTCAGCCATACTGCTGGATCAACTGCACAGCAGAGCCATAGAAACAGCAGTGCAGACACCTGAGTGGAACTGAGCCCAGAGGAGCAGCGGTACGCGCTGACTTGGATGACCTAGCTTTTAGGGGGCTTGTTTGTTGTTTTTCGTTGTTTTTTGGGATGGGGGGGTGGGAAACATTAGCCACAGTAGCTCCCCCTGCCTTCTTGCTTTTTTTTGCTGACAGGCATGTGGTGCAGTGTGTGGAACAGTCAACACATTGCCTTTCTCTGGTGAAGCCACGTGGACACAACTTACAGGAAGTGGCCACTGTCTTGTTTTTGTTCCCAGTAGTGTACATTTTTTGTGGTTAAAACACCTTCTCCTTCTCTATACTTTTACTATTAATACTTCTGTTTTAGTGTGCGTGTCTTATTCCATTGCTTTGTGCTTTCAGTAAATTGTTATCTCAACCCATAGTCTCTGGTTTTGTCCCTCTCTTATCAGAGGGGATGGGATAAAGGGAGTGGCTTATTTGGAGTTTAATTTCCAGCTAGTATTAAAAATGACACACTATTAAAAGATATAAAAAATGTAATGAAAAAGTAAGATATGATTCAAGAAAATCTAATTGTATTTTTTCCTTTAGAAGAAAAAGAAATAGTTCTCCTTCAGAAGTCACTAAGATGATTTAATATATAAAATATGATTCTTGTCACGTGTGTTTCTACAGGTTACACTTTAAAAATCAATGTCAGACACAGTGATATGCATAGGCTAATCTCATTACCCCACAAACAGAATGGACAGGTTTTCAAGAAGCAGGCTTTGGTATAAGGCAATAGAAATAGAATGGTTTTGGCTCTTCTTAATTAAAACAGCTTATTTTCCTACTTCATGCTTATCATTTCACTTTATTTACCAGCATATAATATTGGGCAAGAGATCAAATGGGTAAAAGTTGGCTGTGAATTAAATAAGGATGAGAAATAAAGGATGAATTCTAACAAAAAGCTGTGTGTTTTGAGTAAAATAGCAACAGCAAGATCAAGAGGCCTAAGGACTTTTTAAATGATACTTGATAAGTTTATGAAATGGATTATATGACATGGTTGTCTGTAATGGCAGGTGCTGCATCCAGGCAGTTCATCATAGGAACAAAAGAAACAGGATTAGGAAGAAATTATTGCAATAATCTTATCTGCAATTTTCAGATATGTGTCCTACGGTTAGAAGGTGTGGAGCAATGAAGCAGTCTGCTCAGTGTAGCAGCAAGAAGCAATCAGCTGTAGTTAGCTTCATTCTCTTTGTTATTATCTATAGCTCTGCTGATTTGATTCGATGATTTCTTTGGATTTTGTCTGCCTTTAAGGACAAGGTCAACAAAACAGTAATTCAGAGAGTGTTTAAGGAAAATACCAATATATTAGCAAATACAGAAAGCTAGGAGTCAATATAACTGGAGCAGAATTTGTAAGGTGCTCATGATGTTTGCCTGCAGGTAGAAAAAAGGACAAAGTGTGAAAGAAATTAAAATCTAAGGAACAGTAACTCTTCAGAGGTCTTATTTATCTTTAGGTTTTAAACTGAATTTTCCATGACTTGAAGGAAGAGTAGTCTCTGTTGTCCCATGCTGTCAAAATTTTATGTTTGAGTACTGCTACTGTTGATGTATACCCTTTGCTCTAGTGTTTAAAAGATGCTTCTGGGCTGCAATATCAATCAGCAGTATTCTTTAGAAATGTCAATAGCTGGCATATTAGCACTTAAAATCTATATCCCTTATAAATGGGGAGCACTTGACATTCATTCTGTACCACACAGCAATACTTAGATAGTGACACTATAGAAGAGAGTGAAGAAAGAACAAATATAAACTTTGAATCTTAGAAAGTGAAAAAGGACTCCAAAAGTAATGGAAAAATGGTACCCGAACAAAGTTCTGGACCCACTGATACCTGGAGGGGCTTTGCTACTGAATTCAAAGGGATCCAGTTTTCATAATTAATATTTATATTTAGGAAAGTACTTGTTCTAGAGTATTTACTTAAGGAATATGATTTTTTCTGTAGCTTTGGTATTTAAAGTAGAAATGTTCTGCAACATATAAGGATAACATTTTTTCTTAACTGTTTAGACTGTAAATTCTTTGGATAAAAGATCTGTTACAGTGTTAAAGATCTGTTACTCTGAAACAACAGGTTCCATCTTCTAGTAGTTGTAATAGTGTTATTGCATACTGAAAACCCCTCGCTCAGAATGTTAATAATACCAGTAATTACAGAATTGTTACCTATAGTTAGTATCACATGGATATTATTCAAAGCAATGTTGGTCCAACCTAGTAATAACACTGCTAGTAATATAATAGAGCACAGTTTCTTGCCTCAAACCAAGAACATTGCTTAAAACAGAATATTCCCTGGCTTCTGTCCATCACAGTAGTGTAACTCTTTTTGTTAATATCTAACATCCATTCCACAACTTCTACCTCTATCAAAGCCACTCATGGAGACAACATTCTTGAAAAAAAAAAAAAAAAAACCATATCAAAGTATCAATAAACTTTGGAATGAAAGAAAAAAAAAAACAAACACAAAAACCCACTTAATAGTTCTTGTAAAAAACATTTCTACAGCAGTGGGATTGTGCAAGGAACTTTACAAATATAACACATCTGCTACTACTATCATCACTGAATAAATTAGAACATGTCCACAGTACGCTCAAAGGCTTAATCTATATGGAAATAGCTAAACTATATTTATGCTAACAAGATTATATATTGATTAGTTCTGTTGGGTTTGGTAGATCTAATTCATAAAGCAGCATAACAAGTAAGATATGATTTCTAACTTAGTGCTGTGTCACTCAGGAGCTATGCCCTCTGTGACCACCTATTGAAGTGATTAGGCCTTCTGTCACTAAGGCTCAGGCACATGGAAAGAAGGAGACACTGCTCGATGACTGTGCTACCATCCCAAACTCCAGTCTCTAGTTCTATGCAGTGTGGCTGCATGCACTTGATATCACTGCAGTTTAGCTACACCATTCTTGACAGCTTATTCAATGGCTTTGTGCTCCATCCTGAGCTGACATTCAGATATTTTGATTGGTATGCAAGCTACCTAAAGGCAATTTTCACTATGTCTGCATAAACTACAGGCCAGGCTGCAGCAAGTTGAAAACCAATTATTAGATTATCTTAGCACAGGGAACTTACACAAACATTCAAGACCAATGGCCTTAAAGAGTCTTACTGCTTAAATTAACCTTTCATGTCAACTTTTATCTTACTCTGATTTTTTCAGCAGTTTTTATAATCAGTTTTGATTTGCCTATCTTACATGTTTTCACCTATTTGACACCCTTGCAAGACATTTGAATGAACTGCATTTTAATGAAGCATGCTGGAAAATCCATTTGTCTTCAGTTCTGCCATTTTTGTTCACATCTACAATCAGCTAATATAATAAAAAAGACTGGCTCAAGAATGCAGTGCTGCTTAACATAATGGTTACTCTGATGATCCCTAAGGAATGAAGCTGAAACTAACACAGTGATTCTGTAACATGGCCATCACTAGAGTTCAGGGAACCTGCCTGATTCAAATATACTTGGCTGTAGGATAAGCTGGAATGAGGGGATTCATCAATGATTTCATGGGTGCACTGACAAAAATAAGAAGCTTACTGTTGACTTTTTGTTAACAGATTTTGATAAAGACATCACTGTTAAAACATCATAATTTAGTAGACCTCTCTCATGACTTTGTGTAAGGCGATATATCAGTTTAAGGCCACAATGACAGTTCTGTGTGATTAGGAAAAAGACACCCCCCCACCTCTCACACCTGGAGGGGGAATTCCCAGAAACCCATTGTAAGGTGATAAGGCTACATAAAAAGGGAAAAAGAGACTCCTGATGGCTTCCTGAAAGACCCCAGCACCTGGGTGAGACTTCCCAGCAACAGACTAATAGGATCAAGGAAGGATGTAATAGTATGTAAGATAGCATGGCCTTTCTTCAAAAACATCCTGATGGGAACAAAGGAAGCCAGTTCTTAGGCCTATGTCATCTTAAAATGTCATATCAATAAAGGTTATTTCATGAATACTAAAAGTTAGTCCAGTTTGGGGTTTTGTTGTTGTTGTTGTTGTTTTTAAGTGCGGCAGGCTCGTTAACAGCGGAATAACTCGTAGGAGAAACTTGCTGAGAAGGTTCTCCATTGCTATTAAGTGCAGTCCCCAAAAGTCCTGTCCATCTCAGTGAATCTGTCAAGTGAAGAGTTGCCCCCTAAGGAGACACTAACTGACTGTTTTTGGACTTTAAAGGCTTTGAACTCCCAGGAGGGGGACATTAATAGCCAAAAAATATATTAATTCCGGTGGGACGGAAAATCCTTCATTTTTGCTCCTTTTCACATGGCACTTTGTTTACCGTTCCTGTTCTCAAATTTCACCCTTTAATCCATGAGAATAAAGCATTAATATTCAGTTCCCCTGACTGTATTTTGAAGGTTCTCTAAACTCTGTTCATCAGCTTGTGGATACAGCTCATGAAAAATATGAAATTAAGATTGACAGAAGGACACAAGGAACAGCAAATACAGTCTAAGGAAAAAAGAAGAGCAAATGTTAATGGAATGGAACTCAGTAGGTCATGAACGTAGATCAAGAACAATTATCTATGAAATGCTGCAAGGAACATAGCAGACTCATGAGGATAGAATTTCATGTCAGTGAGATGAAATGTTGAAGATTAATTCCTGTGACTCTTATTTAAAGTATGTACCGATTTTCTCACAACATGCATCTGATCTACTATAGAACAGTAGATTTAAAAGCAGAAGTTCAGCTAAATGTTGCTAGTACCTTGAAGAGGAGAGGGCTCTTAATTCAGAAAATGAGCATCTTTCTGATAAGTCATGGC